AACACGGATTTGCTGCTTTTTAGGCACTCATTATTGTCAATTTACAAATAACATTTGGTGTCGGCTTTTCTGACAGACAAATCTTGGTCGTCCAGTTTTCTGATCCCTGCACGACTGTACCGTTTAGGGCTTTAAACCCATCATTATCTGACCAAAATGACCTTTCTAAACACAACTTTCCTTACTCTTGTCAACATCATGTTTTATTGTGCGTTCATTGTGTTCTCTGGTCATTAATACATCATTGTGAATGATGTGATGCCTAAAAGCAATACAAGAAAATTTCGAAAATAGCTAGACTTTTTATCATTATTACTGATGAAGCTTTTTATGCAATATGCACACTTTGATGCAATATCTTTGGAATAATGGAATCGGCCATCCAGGAAAAGCCAACTGTTTATTTATTTTTTTTATTTTTGGCCTAGCTCAGTTAGGATCAAACTTTGATCTTGGAAATATCTCAGTAGTGGGATCTGATTGATTGTCTACACACACATATATCATTGTATATATTTTCCATTGACAAATAATACAAATGAATAAAACCAGGCACGAACTTGATCAGATCTCTTAGATTATCATATGTCAAATCAGGTATCAGCATTATTTATTGTAATGCCGCTATCAAACTACTGTAAGTTGTGCAAGATCAACACTTAAGTTCTAATCCCTTTAATCAATTAATATTCCGTAAATCACGTGCTACACACCGCTACCAGACTCAGCCAGTAAGTTTATGAAATCATCTTGTATATCATATAGACAATAACCTAGGCAATCACACTTTGTCTGCCGTGCTGGAGACCTGGAAAGGATTTAGCAACACGAATCAAATGTAAATAAGTTTAAAGAAAAGAAGGCCCTCAAGTACGGCGTATAGGGATGCAGCTCTCACCAATATAAGACTTTTATGAATGGCATCTGGCGTCATTTTAGAAATTTCATTATACAAATATCCGGCTATGGAGGAAAATGTAGAAGAAAGTCGTAAATGCCGTCAACGCAATCTTGCCCTAATTCTGTGAACGAATATGTTGACTATCTGCATGTAATGATCATTCCACCTCCCACCCCTTCCAATTTAAATAAAATTAAGCAGTAAAATATAAGGAAACAGAACAAAACAAAAGGTGCAGCATTTGTATATAAGAGAGAGAGAGAGAGAGAGAGAGAGAGAGAGAGAGAGAGAGAGAGAGAGAGAGAGAGCGTGTTTTCATCAGTTTAGTCAGTATATACCTAATTCTTCGAAACTTAATCATCTTACGATGATCAAAGATATTACCATGACATTTGTATGTGTTTTATATTGTAATAATTGTCTTTTCGTAAGGACAGAATAATACATTAAGATAAGCGGAATGTTTCACTTTTCATGGACTATTTATAATTCATATTAAACACTGTCATATTCGTGTCAATTTTGTATTCTCACGGGTGTTGGCAATAACGGGAATATGAATAAATGACACAAGACTTAACGTATTATTATCGCGATCCAAGTACGATAGTCTGGGATAGGTTTATCTGAAATAACAGAATCCATTCGCCTTAAATGGTATGAATATACCTTTCACCATGGTTGTGATATAAAATGTGCCTATAATTATGATATAAAAAAGTCAATAATGCATTCAGTGTTATTTACAAAGAGATATAAATCTTGGAATAATCAATATTATATTGTATCACGTTTATGTAACAGTTTGTACAGAAAAACCACATGTTTACAGTATATGGCATGCGAAGCGATGACAATTCGACACACCTATCCGTCTTTCTATTGTATCCTTTAACAGGAAGAAAATATTTGATAATGCTAGCTCAAAACCTACGCCTACTGTAGGTGAAATATTCTATAGGTTGGGTACCAGGAAGAAAAAATAATGTAATCGACATATTTGAACCGTATATTTTTTTGTACATGAAGTATAGGGGGAAAATGGATTTTAAACCAAAACTGTTACTAACTGTCCATTACGTGTTTTAGCATGCACGATATCAATGGTTTTGTTTCAACAGTGGCTTGTCTACAATTATGACATGTTCTTCCAGCCCCCAATACCTCCACCCCACCCCCATCCTGCATATGCTTTTTTAAGAAATGGAAGAGAATCTGCAATTTTTTAATTTATTTTCAGTCTATTATTAAGTAAACTTTTACATGTAGACAAAACTAAAGACAGATACCCTTAGACCAACACAGGAAAATTGTGGATATAACTTGAAAAAGGAAATGTGCTAACTTTCAACGGACATATTATATAACTCTAGAAACATAAACTCAAGTACATGATATAATTTAAGCAGTTTGAGTAAGGTCAGTGCCTTTCTACAGGATAGGGAAATACATACAGAGGGAATACGATCTTTGACAAGACTGGCAGACCCAATGAAACAAATCTTATTTCTGAGAGAGTGATTTTTGCATCCTGTCCAAACAAGTGGGAATGATACGTTTTCTCCTCTATAGAAACAAAGCAAAATATGTTACAAAATGTGCATCGAGGATTTAAAACCAAGCTAAGGCTCCTAAGTAAGCAGACGACGTTTAAATTTAGTAAGTTGACTGACACTGCTCAGTACGATTTAAGAACAGCATAATCATTAACTTAGACACACACACACACACACACATACATACATATATATATATATATATATATATATATATATATATATATATATATATATATATATATATATATATATATATATATATATATATTACTGTACTTACGTTCTGTGAGAATATCCCTGATACCTGTACATAAACGCCAACCAGGCTGACCATATAATGCCAACCAGCCATCATCAGATGACTAAAGTCGACATACGGTTTAACTAATTAGCAAAAAGTCTTTCAAACCACCTTCAACAGTCCGCTTCAAACGAAATCGATAAAAATGTTAAGTATCCACCCGGTATCTCAATAGTTGTGTCACGTCAGACTGAAATTTTAACAGTCCTGGTAAAACGTAAGGGATCTAATGTAACTGCTATTTCTAGTATTTCACACCCTCACACCCTGTGTGAGAAATGCAGGAACCTTTATTTCCACCTGTGCTTACACTAGGTGTTCGTCAATATCAATGCAGTCTTGTGATACGGACCATGACATGCATTTATGAGATGTCTTTCGACAGCAATGAATTATTCTGCTAAATATCTCATCAACCCGCGCTAATTGTTATATTTCCATCGTGTGCAACGTCAGATCTGAAACACGAAACGTTAAGATCAAATAATACAGCACAAAGCACGGTATACATATTGCACAAAGCACGATACACATAAAACCGGTTTCCTCGTTATGTAAAAGATATATCGTAATATGAAACAAGAAAGTCTTTTTAAAAATGATTTTCTTTATGGACAAATGTAAACTCAGGCTAGGTGGGAATAAATGCCCAACCATTCATGTTAATTTGAATACTTTGTTTCCTAAAATTACCATTTGACGAGTATTCTTTCATTTTTACTTTTGTAGGGCATATTACACACACACACACACACACACACACACACACACACACACACACACTGACACGGATATATATATATATATATATATATATATATATATATATATATAGATAGATATATATATATATATATATATATATATATATATATATATATATATATATATATATATATATATATATATATATATATATATATATATATATATATCCGTGTGTGTGTCTGTTATAATAATCTGCAGAATTTTCATTATGACAATGGGACTCGCGTCCATTTGTGATGAGACTGATGTGTACGCAGGAACATTATATTATCCTACGAAGCACAAAGCCTCGAAGTGATTGATTTCCAGGCATAATTAAGTATATTATTGATCAGGTCAATTTCCAAGCACGATGAATTTTTATAGAATTGTATCATTGTCCTCTTGCCCATGGATAAAAATTTATCATGCTTGGAAATTGACCTCATACACACACACACACACACACACACACACACACACACACACACACACACACATAAGTTTTGCTAAATAACAGAAAATGAATATGGCGAAAGCCACCAAGTTGCGTTCAAAAAATAATTTTATCTCAAGAATACAAACTGACAATTTAAACAATAACATTTAGTAATGTGAATTAAATCCAAACTAGTCTTTAAGCATTATCACAAGTCCAATTGTATAAAGTTCCTAATGAATTCCATTGGTATTGCAAAATCTTCCAATGCTGAGCGTTGATATGCATGTAATATTCAACGTGTTAATGTGCTTATGGCCTGAAGTGTGACGATGTACCAACAGTCTTTTGATGTATCACCATAATATAATCCAGAATTTGTCTTGTCTGAAGTCACCATAGTTGCAAGTTAATTTTCCAGTCCATGAATATTACGGATCATAACTTTGCATTTGCAGTTAATTATAAACTGAGCAAAAAATCTACCCAAATGAAATACTGAACATAAAAATAATACTGATTCTACTTCAAAGCGTTAAACCAAGATTAAGGAATTTCTCGAGCAAGATTATATGAAAATCTAAGACACAAAATTAGAACCAGGATGGTGGCCAAAAGATCATTTCTAGAAAATTCTAAATTAAATTGTTCTAGACCCATACCAAGACAAAAATATTTACCAGCACCGATAATAATCTAATTAATTCACACTGAGAAATATGAGTTATATATCATTTGTTTACAAAATAAATGTTACTGGTCATGTACAACATGAACTTGATTTTGGCCAAGATCAAGTCCAACATAAATGTAGGCATAACATATAATCATTGAGAAAAATAAATAAAAGATGCCAATTAAATATGCATAACACCTAACCTCATATACTTTAAATCTTTTTTAACTATTCGTCAAATATACGTGCAAAACTTAATAAAGATAAAGCAATATAATAATTCTATGCAAGTGGAAGTGTGTCTGTATTTAGATTTTTTTACCTTTATGTGCCTAATGTCAATATTCGATCCCTGCAACAACAAACTCCACCGAACCGCTTCGGCGGCTTAATGGTTAGAGCGTCCGCCTTGGATGCGGGAGGTCGTGACGTTTGATCCCTCAGTCGAGTCA